GTCCTGTCATTATGTTAATTATTGTCAGCTGTTTTCTCCATGTGATTCCGCTTCCCCTGATCATTCCTTATGTGTACTTAATCCGTGTGTTTCTGCTCAGTCGGGGTCAGATCGTCTGTTATCCTCACCTCATCTTTTCATAGTTTCCGTTATTGTGTCACTGTTTCATAGCCTGCCTTGTTACTGTGTTCATAGTTTCTTCATAGTTCTTTCACAGAGTGTCATCGTCTTTTTAGGTTACACAGTGTTCTTGGTCTCCTTAGTTTTCCCAGTTTCAGTGTTCTCTAGTGTTTTTGTCATGCCATCAGCCACAATAAAGGCTCGCTTTATTTTTGGAAACCTAGTTCTGTCTCCACCGTGTCTGCTTCTGGGTCTACCTCTTCTTCACACCGGCGCACCCCGCCGTGACAGTTTTAAGTCAGACGCAAAACCACAGAGTCTTTATAGGTGTATTATATTATATTATGACTATGTTGTATATATATAAGTGCTTAGCTGAAAGACTGGAAACGGGTGGAACCAACTAGTCAGATGCAGTAGAACTGAGCTAAGCTAACTGTCTGCACTACACAAACATGAGAATTGAGTCAATATTCTCATTGAACTCTTGCCAAAGATTTATTTCCCAGACTACCTTTTTTACTTTCTCAGTTGAATTCTTCCATCTAAAAATACATTAAATCAAATCACCAGGACACCATAGACAGTTTGCAGCTCATCTTTTCTTTAGAAACTCATTTATGTCTGTGCTCTGCTACTTCACAACTCAAAACTCTGTGTCTCCTCGCAGTTCCAGTCAGAATAATCTTCCTGAATAATGCTGTGCCGCAGCACCACTGGTGTTTTCCGTTTGCCGTGGACGGCAATCCCGAACCGAACATCACCTGGCTTTACAACGGCACGAAATTAAACGAGACCAGATACATATACACGCAGCCCATCGTAGATTCAGGCGATGGATCGGAGAAGCACGGATGTCTCTTCCTTGACAAGCCAACCCACGTCAACAATGGCAACTACACTCTGATTGTGGAGAACAAACTGGGAAGAGATGAGGCCACCGCACATGGGTACTTCATGGACAACCCCTTTGACAATTCTGATGGGATAATTCCATGTGAGTTCCTGTTTTGCTACTCTAAACTAAACTACTCACTGATTACTAATTATCTCCTAGAGTCATGTCTCACTTGGCGCCATCTTGAAACATCTTGAAAGCCAAACAATTTTGAGGCCTTATCCAAATGAGCTGGGACATAAAACCTGGATGTGTAGAATTATATGTTTTATTAATGATAAATGCCACTTTAAAAGTTTGCTGATATTATACCCAAATTGTAAAAGGTTCTAATTCTGCTTTAATATCTTTGTAATCGCTTAAATGTTATTAATTCAAGTCATTAGAAGTTGTTCATCATCCTGTAATATCAACTATAGCTGCTGGAAATCACATTAAATTAATTACCTACCAGAGATGAAAGAATTTGCAGACATCTT